TATAGGCTGTGTCGACATCAGAGAAAAGTTAATATCAAATTATAAACTTTATGCTGCCGGCATATTGATTTAATTTTATGCATAGAGCTAAATTTTCTCGGCAATCTGTTCACCGAGGCAAAAGTGACCAGTATTCTAATGATAAAAATCAAAATTACAGAAGTTTTTTTATTAACATAAAGTCGATGTTTCGAAAATTGTAATTTTCATTATCAAGACAATAGAGACAATTAACACGATGTAAAGTTAAAACGAATATGCCTAAATAACTAAACGTTTGAGCAGTGTGACTCAGTCGGTTAGTGGGCAGACAACGTACTTCAAACATACGGAGTTCGAATCCTGGCAATGGCGGTCGCGTGATAATCTTGGACAAGCTATCTAATGCTCATTGTCTCGGCATCTTTGGACACAGATGCAATGGGGTAACCCGATTTCAGTGCCATTCGACTGGAGAGATGAGAGATATAGTTTAAAAAAGAAAACAACAACAACAACAACAACAACTAAACATAGAGAGTAAAATATATTTTTTTTGTAGTGGAAGAGAAAGAAAGAGAAAAATAGACATTTTTTGTAAGCAAGAGAAAAACATATTTTGTAAAATTGAGAAAAATGAACAGACTATGCAGTCGGTACACAAGGTCAAAAATACACTGAGATGTTATTTTGTTAAAACGATAAATTATCCTCCTGGATCGGGTAACAATTTTTAAATATTGTTTTTCTCTCTCTTACAAAGAATGTCTATTTCTCTCTTTCTCTCTCTCATACTACAAAAAGAAATGTATTTTACTCCCTATGTTTAGTTATTTAGGCATATTCGTTTTAACTTTACATCGTGTTAATCGTCTCTACTGTCTTGATAATGAAAATTACAATTTTCGAAACGTTGACTTTATTTTTATAAAAAGGTTTATTTTAACAAAAAACAATTTTAATTTTAGTTTTTATTAAATAAAGATAAATCTAAAAGCAGCTGCTGTTACTATCTTATCAATTCTAAAACTTCTACTCCTGAACAGATATAATGTTCCAAGTACTTTTATGAGGTTTTTGAAAACCTGTGTAAAACATCGTTGAATAGTATCTATCGGATTCTTTACAAAGAATCTTTCAATAATCCCAGACTTTTTACCCAAAATTCTCTCAAACGTCTCGGAAACAAAGTATTTTCTAATTAAAATAGATTTTTATATACCGAGAAATATCCTCTATCAGATGCGCACATTCATAAAAGAGTTGAATTTCATGAGAATTTTTTCCAAACATATGCTCAAACTTTCTGAATTTTAAATCGCGGTAGTTCCGAAACAACTTTCGCAATAAGTATTTATCAGTCTGGCTTTTGGTACACTACTTTCTAACGGGTCATGTGCTGTTCGATTTGCCAAAAAACATTTTTAGAGTTCCATGTTGAACTCAGATTTCATTCGAACTTTGAGCGAGTACCAAAGCAAACGCGAAATTTTACTGTTTAGCGAAACGTTTCCATACCCACAGTGTTTGGAGTATAGGTTTATTTGAAACAACAAGTGATATATATATATTTAAGTGTTAGAAAAGCTGAGTTTGATCGATAACGGATAAGTTAAATTCTTGTTATATCATTTCCATATGAAAATGGTTTTTCTTGCATCACCGGCATTGGCTGTATCATCATCGGTTGACTATTAGTTACATAACGCGAAGCATCGGCAGCTGAAAAAACTGAATTGAAAACGCGTGTCTGATGGATTTCGAGCACTTACCTCTGCTTTTAAGTTCTCGTGCTTCTTGACAAATTGAACAAGATGGACAGCAGCACGTAGCCAGACAATCATTTCCACAACTTTCAGTCAAATTATATGTTTCCCTCAATTGTCTTCGTTTTTTCATATGTACGATAAATCCAAATGGAAACAAGACCATTGAACCCAAATAATTGAGTAACCAATAGATGGCACATTGACCGGCACAGTCAGAGCCATCTATTTTTTCAGCATTTTCCCCGTATAAACACTCAGTGCACCAACAACCATAACAACATATTCGGCAATCAGAACAACAACCACACATACTTTCTGTGAAAAAACAATTTTCTTATTTATATTATAAATTAAGGAAGGATAAGTAATAAACTCACCTCTCCATTCTTCTTGAGGATTGGCGCTATACATCATATTAGCAGCAAACAATATATCTAAAAGAGGGCTAAACTGGTTTGATTACGATGTTTTTGATGAAAATGTGTTATATTATTCTTTTTTATTCAAAACTAGAGTCAAAAACATTTTTTCAAGATTCCAGATTCGAGAACCTTAAGGTAACAGTTTTGTAAAAGTTTTGCGAAAAGTATTAAACACTGTTAGATAATGAGTTTTTTCAGTATCTTGACTTTTATGTACTTCGATTATCTCGAGCTACATCTCATTCGACAAAGCGCAGAAAACTAAATGAGCGCAGATAACTGACGATAAAACGATATTGGGTGTAATGTATGCGATAATACTTTTAGTTTTCTAATAAATTTGTAGTTTTGTCTGTCTGTTATTATGCAAGAACATTGCTGATTACCAGACTCAATTTCCGATCAAAAGTGGAAACTTTGATGTTACCTTGATAACACATCAATGTTTTCTAAATTTCCTTTTTGGTTAAAAATTGTAAGCTCTTCCTTTTAAGGGGATCTATTCATTTTGATTTGACTCAAGTTTCATTAGTTTAGCACCCTTTAAACCTTATGGCCTTACGGATATAGTCTTGTCGAGGAAAAAAACGAATTACTCAAAAGCTTCTAGATAGTTTTCGCTCTCAAAGTCTTTTTAGAAAAATTCGCTCGATCTTACATTTTATGATAAAAACAAGATTTTTGTGTAGAACGGTGAAGAAAAGTATCGAGATCAATAAGAGCAAAAAGCAAAGTAAATATTTTTTTTCCCTTTCGAAAAATAGTTAATATGTGCTAATTCATACTAATTATTCATTTGTCACTGGAAACAAGACCAATTTGTAAAATGAATTTGTAATGAAAAAATGTCAGCACTACCTCAGTCTATCGAGAATTTCAAGCTACAGGATGCACTAATTTTTAGTTTTTCACATCCAATTCAAAGGGCTAGAATTTGCGTTTTTCTCTAATTTGCGACCTTTAAAGCGCCAAACTCTCAAAAGTGATATTTTTTTCATTTCTTCCTATATAACAGTGTTATAGTATGTAATCTTTCTATAGCTGTGCAGATGTGAGCACAATAAAGAGAAGAGAACTCTTCTGAATAATATGAACCACAAATACATTAGTAGCAACCACTTTTTTTTAAATTCTTTTGTTTCATCTATAACACTGTAACAATAATACAATGAAATATTTGTATTTTTTTATAATAAATGAGACGTTTCAACTTACACGGATGCACAGAATAGCTTATCATGTTGCTCATAATCTTTTGTGTAAGACGAAATACTTCTTTGCTTTTTGTGTTGTTTTCATTACTTATAAAAAAATGACATCTTGAAAATCTACTTAGTTTCTTTCTGGAAACTGGCATCTATGAACAAGGTTTTGCACGATAGCAGCATTTGGGAAGAAAATTGTGGGAACAAAGTCGTTCAGGATCAAATTCTACACGGGAAGAGTAACGGAATCTTTGAAATTCTTTAAATTCGATTTTTTGAAATTAAAAATACTGCTTTTAAGAATCTAATTAAAAATTGAGTAATTTCGAAGTATCCCTCGCTTTTCCGTGTAGAATTTGATCCTGAACAACTTTGTTCCCACACTTTTCTTCTAAAATGCTTCTATCATGCGAAACCTTGACCAAGACGTTCTTAAAAATACTTCTTGCACCAAAAATGGATCGAACAAGCCGCTTAAATTTCACCGTCAGACTTGGCCAGAAAAAGATGAAAACGTTTTTTGTGGATAAATCTCGAAGTGCTCTATCGAATGGCAACAGATTCAGGATTTGTTGTCAAAACATTAAAATTTTATTAAAATTTTAAATGGATGAAAAAATCGAGACTAAGCTTAAAAATCTTTTCTCCCATAAACTACAGATCCAGTAACCGAAAAATATTCTGAGATATATATTTCCAAGTGTTCTCTATGAACTGATAGAGATAGTCGAGTACGTAGACCCTTTCATTAAGACAGATTTGTATAGAAAACACTATAAAAACCAAGAATCATTACAGACTTATTTATCAGATTACGAGCTTCATGTTGTTCGAAGTGAATGAATAATTCCAAAATTTGAAAATGCATTTATTTAGAATAGATTTAACAAACACAAGATTCACAGAACGTCAATAACATAGTGATTTAACAATATATCCATTACTTTCGATTCGTTTCTTATCTGTAAGTTATAAAAAGCAAAAAGAAAAAGGAGAAAAGAAATAAAAGGAATGATATTAGTCACCCACTCATATAATAGTAGTAGCAGTAAGAAACCTGTAAAAAAATATTGAGTATGTAAAAATAAGCTTTTTTACCTTGTTTGTTCACATCAACTCCAAGGTTTGAAAATGAAGCCAAATTTTTCAATTTTCAAATGAATATCAATTTATGCTGGAAATGATACACTGTCCGAATCTTTTATTATTTGTAGCTAAATTTATAATTAGGCACAAAATTTGTACAATTCATTCTATGAAACTGTCCGTGTCTTCGATGATTCTAAGTGGAGTAGTTTTTGTTGCTAAATTTTGAGCAAACAATGGTATCGTAGCGATACATTATAACGACAGGACCCCATCAAATACAATCGTGCAATAAACTAACAGTTCTCCTTACTACAATTTTTCAACTTAAAGTTTTATTAAGGGACAGCCGTGTGAATACCGACCACGCTGATCGGAGCTAAAATTTATTTTTTGTTCTTAGTATTCTCGTTCGAAAGAGCTCATCGAAAAACTAAGAAATCCAACATATCTCGCCTTTGTATATAAGGGTGAGATATGTTGGATTCCTTAGTTTTTTTATGAGCTCTTTCAAACTAGAATACTGAGAACAAAAGAACTTTTAGCACCGGCCATTATTCACTTTGCAGGTCGGTTTTCTAACGAACCCTCTCTTAAATATGTTAAACTTTATTCTCTCTTTTTTCCTTCCCATCTGTACCTTTTGTATTCGATGTAAACGAAAAAACACTAAATCTGATCAAATAACATACTATAGAATACTATTCCGTTCTCTTTTTAAATTTGTCAGACATAATCAGTGTACACGATGATGACGAAGAAATATTTTCTTCTTATTTCTATGTGATAGCTACAGTAGTGCCTTCAAGGAGCTGTTGAATAACATTTCTTTTTTCAACTTAATAAAAACGGGCATAGTAAAAGAAGAAAGAACACGGTTATTATATACAAGATGAAAAATTTGAGAAATATATGCTTATTTGGCCTCATACCGAAACTTGTTAATTGACAAGCGGGATGAGATCGGTATAGTAAAAAAACGACAGATGTCTGGTGAAGTCGAAAGAATAATTCAGATATACGTCATAGGTAATAATATAATAGATGTGCTAGATGAGAAAATTGGTCTGAGTTAATTTAAGTGTATTTTTCTTTTAGAGCGCGTTTGCCGTATATTGAGAAATTCTGTTATTCTTCCTAATTTGTCAATTTGAAAGGCTCCAATTATAGAAACATACATAGTTTTCTGTCGTCTACAACAAACGGCCCAAAAAGGTTTTGGAGAGTTTTAAGTTGGTTGTCTGGAGAGCTGATCTGTAGAAAATCGATATTAAAAATTTGACAAACCTCTAGACAAATTCAGTTGTTGACTCTCTATCAAATAGTGGACCGCCGAATTCTATGACACTTTTCTGAGTCGAGATATTAAAAGAGACTTCTCGAGTCGATTCAGCATCTTGCAAAGACCGGTCACGAGTGGAAAATTGACATATAATTTTCAATTCAATGCATATTCGAATTCTATTATCAAAACTGGGGAAATAAATTTTTTTTTTCTCCTGACTTATACTGGCTGAATTATATAATTTATAAAATGAGCACCATTTGCGAAAAGTACTCTCCTTGGATATTTGACTATAACTCCGCCATTTTGTGTCCGTTCTGTTTAAGCAATATCTCAGTCGAAAGTCTGATAAAAACTCAAAACAACAAAATCACATAGTTCCTCATTTTCTTAAAATAAAAACTGACTGTTAAAAGCCCATATCAGTTGAAGGGTTGGGATTTTGAAGAGTGAAATGTTTTGAGTGAATGCCACTTTTGATCCTCCAGACAGAATTTCTCAAAAAATTTGAAGCCAACATCAGATGTAGAATTCAATTCTCTACAAAGTGAGCCGAGAAACTTTATTTTAAAACAGGTGAAAAAGTTCCAAAACTTCCCAACAATATGGTGGTCCGATAGCATTTTTTTCAGTTTTTTGAGACTTTTGACGTCAGAACATAACTTTAAAACAAAAATAAGATGATATTCGAAATCAGCGTCGAAAACTGCATAAAGTTTAAAAACTTTTAAAAATACCTAAAATTTTTCTAAGTTTATTTCTTATTAAAACATACTTTTTCTTCTATATTTTAATAAGAAATTAAATTATAAATATAGTTTGTTCGACTTCGTATTGTAACAAAAGATCCTGCTCTAATGTTAAAGACATAAAATTTTAAAATTAAAAAATAATTATTTTGGATACGATGACTGTCTCGAAATGCTTTCAAATACAGCCGTGTTTTTGGAAAAAGTATTTTCTGCACATTGACAGCTAAAACACTATGATTTTTCTAGAAGCTCTACTTCCAAGTAGTTTGAAAAAAAGTCCAAATGAAAGAGGATCCTCCAAAATCATTACGCGTTTGTAGAAATTAGCTCAGACCAGTACGACAAAACAAATACAACTACATACAGATACACTTCTTATTTTCTTCTCTTATCTTTCTATTGTTTTCAAGAAAATACGAATTGCTCTGTGTGTAGTTGTATTTGTTTCGTCGTATGTGTGCAATATTTTTATTGTCAACCGCTCGTGAACTGGTACAAAGTTAGTTACTGTTTAATGATTAGGGGTGGCACATTGCTGTTACTTATACAAGTAATCCAAATATTGTAAATATTTCTGTTATCAGTAACAGCAATACTTTTCAGTTTTACTGTTGCTGGTAATAGGAATGTTCTAAAAATTTGTACCAGCAACAATAAAACTGGAAAGTATTGCTGTTACTGATAACAGAAATATTTACAATATTTGGATTACTCGTGAAAGTAACGGTAATGTATCATCCCTATTAATGATGTTTTTTATATGGTTTTAAATTGTTTAAATTCTTGATTAAATTTAAACTATTTTTGTGCCACCGAAGAAAACTTAGCGAATAAATTGAGGCGTCTAATTAGTATAATACTGCTGGGAATAACAAGCAACTAAAATTTAATTTTAATAATATATTATTGTATCTGCTACATACAGACATTTTACAAAAATTAACCTATAGTTAATAAAACATATTGAAGATGCATGGCTTGAAGATGCACAACATCTAAGGTAATGTACCGTCTAGGAAAAATTTACTTTCGGTAGTATCGGTTTGCGGAAAACCGACGTTAAAAAGTTGGCAAATTCGTATGTTTGTTCAGTTTTTGTCTTTCTATCGAATGGTGGATCATGAAATTGTTTCTGAACAAAGTTAAACTTTTAAAAATAACGAAATTTTAAGAATTTAAATTCAGTTTGAAAATTTAAACATTGTGATGGGAAATCTAGTTTTTTTAAAAGGCAGCCCGTTCAATTTTGGATACGATGACGCTCTCGAAATGCGTTCAACTACAGTGTTTTTTGCAAAAAGTATTGTTTGTACATTGATAACTAAAACACCATGGTTTTCTAGAAAACCGGGTCTTTGAAGAACTAAGAGCCATCCCCATGGTCATATTCGGAATCAGCATGGTCGATAACCTATAACCCATTAGATTCAAAGCGTCCACTACCAAAAAGCGTTGTATTGCCTCGTCAGATCAACTTTCTTGTCTAGAACATCTATTATATTATTACCTATGACGTATATTCGAATTATTTTTTCGACTTCACCAGACATCTGTTGCTTTTTTACTGTACCAATCTCATTCCGTTTGTCAATTAACAAGTTTCGGTTTTAGGGGTGGCACATTACTGTTACTTTTACGAGTAATCCAAATATTGTAAATATTCCTGTTATCACTAACAGTAATACTTTCCAGTTTTATTGTTGCTGGTACAAAGTTTTAGAACATTCCTATTACCAGCAACAGTAAAACTGAAAAGTATTGCTATTAGTGATAACAAATATTTACAATATTTGGATTACTCATATCATGTGCCACCCTTATTCGGTTTCTGAGGCCAAATAAGCATATATTTCTCAAATTTTTCATCTTGTATATAATAACCTTGTTCTTTCTTCTTTTACTATGCCCGTTTTTATTAAGTTGAAAAAAGAAATGTTATTCAACAGCTCCTTGAAGGCACTACTGTAGCTTTATCACAGAGAAATAAGAAGAAATTATTTCTTCGTCATCATCGTGTACACTGATTATGTCTGACAAATTTAAAAAGAGAACAGAATAGTATTACTAAGTAGGCATTCGTCAAAAACTATAGAAATGTCAGAATGGCATTTTTTTTCATCTCATTTCTATATGTTATTTGATCAGATTTAATGTTTTTTCGTTTACATCGAATACAAAAGGTACAAATGGGCAGAAAATACGAGAGAAAAAAGTTTAATATATTTAATAAAGCTTTTGGTCGAAAAATTGTAGTAAGAGAGGGATCTATTAAAAGATCATTGGATTATTGTATGGATTTTTAGAAGTTCGAAAAATGGAATTAATTTCTGATTATCTGAAAAATCCGTGAGGAATTTCTAGTTATTCGAATATCGCTGAGGATTTTTCCGGCGTTTATATAATCATCAACCTCAATCAATCGATCTCGGGCGTTTTGATCTAAAGTTCAGGCAAAACACCCGAGGGGAACCCAAGGGTGGAATAGCGGATTTTGGAGACTTCTAGACATACACGAATGTAGGAAAACTCCGAGACCCTCTGAGAAACTAGAGAAACCAGCGAAGTCCATAGGAGTAAAAAGTATCGACGATGAAGAAGACTTTTCCTCTGAAATAACCCTTAAAAGTACATCGTTAGGCGCAGTTTTCGCGCTGATGACAAATATCGACTTTGAAAAGAATAAAAATTTAACTTCAGACTCAAAAATATAAATCTGACTGTTTTTTGATGGAGCTATCTACTAGGTACAAGATAATGGCATAAAAAACAACTAGAGCCTAAGAAAAATGTGCATACCACAGCGGAGTCATGGAAGAGGCCCTCACAACAGGTATGAGAGATAAGAATACTCTGAAATGTATTAGCAAAAATCTGTTGAAAAGAGAGCATATAAATGGATGATGATAAATCGCCAGTTAGTATGAATTGGATTAGAACGAATGGGTTAAGTATGGATCATTGAAATTCTCTTCATCTGATGATCATTTTACTGAACTTGGTGAACACCGTATACATCCAGAAACAAGTGTCAGTTTCTTTCACTTATGCACGTCGTAAACGGGCTAACTATCACCAGTTAAACAAGAAAGAAGGAAAAGAAGGCGAAGTTTACATCCAGAAAACATAAAAGGTTCAAGAGATCCTCATGGGAAACAATGCGCATGGTTCTAGTCGATACATTCTCGTTTTCTAAACGTCACATTTCTTTTGCGGCAAATCAGTAGGTTGAGAGCAATAATGTATTAATAGCTACATAATGCATGGCAAAAGTTTGAAAACTATCATATGTATGATTTGGTCAGAAGAGAACGATCTCAGACCGCGGCTGTCGTGATCACCGATGAACAATTCTGAGCACTAATCAATGATCAATGTTCAAAAGTGGCAATGGAAAAACATGAAATCAGTATTTCTCGAAATAAATCGACAAATCGAATAACTGACCGAGCATCAGAGTGCTTGCTGTGGTTATTTCCTGAAAACTAGAACAACAACCGACAGTCGACTCAAGAAGCAGCCATTTCAAATGTCTACTTTAACTGAGCTTTCACTCTTCGAATGTCGTTCTCAGTGGTTACCAGCTGTGGATGCGTTGTCGGAAGTGATTTGCGTCTTATTTCTGCTGCTTTGCTGTGATACTCTAAGGCTGATTGCCAGGTACGAGTTGCTTCATGCAGGAGTCCTATATTACTGTATGTTGAGGCGAGTAGAGGGTGATCGGGTGGAAGAGCTTTTAATTCGATTTTCAACGCTTTTTCATAATTCATCAAAGCTAAATCATATTCACCTTTGTCCCTGTGTACAAGACCCAGTCCTATGTAACAGTCAGCAATACCAGAATCACCCACTGTCAGCTCACTTAACAATCGTTTATAATACTTTTCGGCCTTGTCCAATTCACCCATCTGAAGCAGCAAGCTTCCAAGTGAAATGAGAGTAGTTTCACTCTCCACCTTTTTCTTCATGTGGGCGAATACTTCTTTCAAATCATGATCATCTTCGTTGCATAAATCTAAATCAGTCATCCATATTTGCTGTTCTTTGTCACAGTGAACACTTTCAAGTCGAAAAATTGAACCGAGCATAAGAAGGATTTCTTCCTCACCAAGGAAATAACTCAATCGGGAAATATCGGCAAACGGTTTTGTTTTTATTCGATTAATTTAGAAGAGAACACATTCAAGATCTTCTGAACTGAACTGAACTGAAATTTATTTCATCAAACACATGAAACCCACAAGAAAATAAAACACAGGAAAGTAGCAAAAGTCAAGAACTTATAATTATAAGGCTACCACCATTGTATGAGTAGAAAAAAAGAAATAAAATTGAAACAAAAAAAAAACAAGCAAATCATCGTATGTTGAGCCTAACACAGAAAACAGTTCTACGCCTATGACACGAAAATAAACAAGCAATTGCAATATGTTTACATGTTCAAAAATGATCTTAGTAATCTTTTAAATTGATTTACTGTATGACAAGAGACTACCTCCTCCGGTAAACTGTTCCGCTCTATTGCAGTCCTGCAAAAAAATGAAGACGCAAGTCGGGCCCTCGTCGTAGTTATAGTTCTTGCTTGTTGCAAATTTTGTCTATCCGAATTTAACCGATCTGATCTACGATTTACTAGAGGTTCAATGAATTTAGTTTGAAAACTAGACAGTGGTGATAAATTATTTTTAATTTTATAGAAATGCAGAAGCCGAAAGTATTTCCTGCAGAAGCCGAAAGATAAATCGGGAAGTTTCAATTTTTCGATTAACTCCGTAACTGAACCGTTAAACTTTTTACATATTAATCGCGCTGCTAACTTTGTAACCTTATCAAGACTTGAACTAAACCAATCACTATCATATATTACAGAGCAGTAATCTAATTTACTAAGAATGCATGCCTTATAAATTTTTAATCGAACACACCTTGGAGCATCTTTAAATATACGATAAAGAACACCTAAACGACGTCTGCATGCAAGGACTACATCGTTTACGT